ATGCCAAAAAGCTTTGTTGTTGTATTGTTTGTTTTGTTTTCTTTTTTCTGGAACTTAAGCTGACTCTAAAATTTATAAAGAAACGTAAAAGGGCCGAGAATAACCAACACTGTCTTAAAGAGACAAAAATAAGGTGGAAGATATATACTTCCAGGTTATCAAACTTTTATAACCTTTCTAAGTAAGACATCGGGGAATTGGCTCAAGGATAGACAAAAACAACAACGGAAAGAATGGAGATCAGAAACAGATCATATATAAAAACTTGATCTATGACAAGGTGTGATACTGTAGAATGGGATATGGACAGATTTCCCAGTGAATGGTGCTTGGTCAAACGGGTAGCATATAAAAAAAAAATGAAATTGGACCTCTACCTCCCAAAATAATACAGAAGAATATCTTCATGATTTTGAAAATACTTATATAACTAAGGAAATATTACTTAAGTCACAAAGATCCCAGCCATAAAAGAAAACATTGCTATATTTTTTCCACATTAAAAGACTAACCGAAAGTCACCAACACAGTCAAATGGCAAGCTATAGAGTAGGAAAAGATATTTGCAAAACACAACATTGAGAAATGGTACTTATTCAGAATAAAGAACTACAAATCAATAGAAAAAGACAAAAACCCAAAAGAGAAACAGACAAAAGACCTAAATAGGAACTTCAAAAGAGGAAAGCCAAAAGACCAATTAACATGTAACCTTATTAGTAGTCAGGAATATTCAAAGTAAAACCACAATGAGATACTGTACATACCCACTGGATCATTAAAAAAAAAAAAGAGGCATAAAAATATCAAATGGCAGGCAAAGAAACGGAACTCTCACACACTGCATGTGGAAGTGTAAAAGCTTGGAGTGTCTAGTAAAGTTGCAGCTATGCATACCCCATGACTCAGCAGTTCTGCTCATAAATACGTATCCTGCGGAACTGCAAGCACCTATGTATCACGGTACATGGACAAGAATGATCATGGCAACATTGCTTTTAAACTGAAAACAACCCATATGTCCATCAACAATAGAATGGTTAAATAAATTGTATTTTATTTAAACCATAATGTAAAGAACTAGTTAAGCGAGTACCAGTAGATCTTAAAAACAGAGTGAATGAAGCCAGAGAAAACAAAGCACGTGATTCCACATATATAAAGTTCAAACACAGGCAAAACTAAAAAGTATTTTTAGAGTTAATAATTATGTGGTAAAATTCTAATGAAAAGTGAGGTAGCGCGTACCGTAAGTCAGGATAGCTGCGGCCGCTAGCCAGAAGCGGGGGATTATGATGGAGGAGGAGCACGTGGGATGGCAAGTTGTCGGTCAGGGCCGGCTACTTAATTTGTGGGGCCCAATGCAAAAATCTTTTTCCTTTCTTCCGGGCTCTCTCTCCCTCTCGACCTGCCACGGGGTTTTCTAATTTGCTATTTAATGTCACCCTCCCTTGGGCACGCGATTCTTAATTGGTAGAAGGCAGACCCTCACAGGGACCCGGGCGACCCCGACTCAGCGTGGTGCCGGGGGGGAAGGGCCTGCGCACCGAAGCGGACAATCCCTGTGCCAGAGCTCAGACCCGGGCCAGAGGAGAGTGGGAAAGGGCGAGGGAGCTGCTGGAACGTATGCTGAGGAGGAAGGGGCTGACCAGAGGCCCACCATTGTCCCATCCATACTTACAAAACAAATTCAGGGACCAACCTCGTGGCCCAGTGGTTAAGTTTGCGCGTCCGGCTTCCGCTGCCCAGCGTTTCGTGGGTTCAGATCCTGGGCACGGACATGGCACCGCTCATCAAGCCATGCTGAGGTGGCATCCCACGTGCCACAGCTAGAAGGACCCACAACTAAAAATATACAACTATGTGTGTGTGTGGGGGGGTGCTTTGGGGAGAAAAAGGAAAAATAAAATCTTTAGAACAAATTCAGAGATAAAGTCGTTAAGAATTTCATGATGGTGATCCAGGGCATTAAACTACAAGCAGGGTGAACAGCTTGTGGGTTGGAGGGGTTGGAGGAGGTGGGCTTCTGAGCCTGGGGCCTGGTGCCACTACACTCGTTGCACACCTATGAAGTTGGCCCTGTTGGCAATGTTCTATTTCTTGACCTGGGTAGCAGTTATATAGATGTGTATTTTACCAAAACTGCTTAAACTGGGCATTTACATTTTATGCACTTTTTTGGCATGGTATAATACACGGTGATCCTTAGCTGTGAAAAAATAGCGCTGTATATACTGGTATATGCATATAATTTTTTTCTAGAAGAAAACAAGAAATTAACATTGCTTGCTTGTAGGGACAGAGATTTGAGGAGAGGAAAGGAAATAGGCTTTTGTTTTTCATATTGAACCTTTTTGTATTATTTGAACCTATAATCGTGTTCCTATTAGGATTACGGGCCAATTTGTATATTTTGTAAATTAAATAAAATTTACAATTAATTATTTTAAAATAAAATCAGAAAAATTCAATCATGTTAAAAGCCTGTAGTTACAGAGAAGAAAGGTAGGGAAAAATACTTTTTAAAGAATCATATTTGAAACTTTTTCAGAAAGCAAAGAATATTTTCATGATATCAACAACCCTCCTATAACTTAGGTTTCATAAATCTATATTTCCATATTGTCTACTCTGAGGTAGATTTACCATGAAGCTAGTGGATGTAAGGTTCAGAGTGCCTCACTTGGACAGGACCTTTTAAAGGCCTGTACCTAATTTTGCATTCTTAATTTTATATACTTTTTCTTAAAGAAGACCCCTCAAATTATATAAGCCTGAAGCTCAACAAAACCTGATTCCAACCTTGACTGTGAATTATACTTAAAGGGATTCTTACCTGCCCTGTATATATGAAGAGTTGTAGAAATAAACAATGAACTGCGGTTGTTATGAAAATTTCTTTGAAGGATAATAGATTCACAGAAGAGATACTTTAAATCCAGCGTGGAGAATTTACATGTCATCTACTCCGGGAATGCTTTCTACTTGCCAGAAATGAATCATTTCCTCCTGTGTGCTAAAGTCTGTACTTTTCCTCTAATTTTATTGAGGAATGTGTCTTAGTCTGTTTGGGCTGCTATAAAAAAAATACCATAGACTGGGTGGCTTATAAATGAAAAAACTTTATTTCTCGAGGGTTCTCGAGGGTTCTCAAGGCTGGAAAGTCCAAGATCCAGGTGCTGACAGATTTGTGGCTGGTGAGAGTTGGCTTTCTGGTTCACAGACTGCCAGTTCACAGTCTTCTCACTGTGTCCTCATATGGTAGAAGGGGTGAGGTCCTCCTCCCTGGAGCCTCTTTTCTGAGGCCACTAATCCTCTTCATAAGGGTTCCACCCTCAGGGCCTATTCACCTCCCAAAGATCCTACCTCCGAATATCATCAGTTGAGGATTAGGTTTCAACATACGAATTGTGGGGAGACACAAACATTCAGTATATAGCAACATGTATCATGTGCTTGTTGAACTACCTGTCTCTCCTACTAGACAGTGAGCTCCAAAATGGCTAGGACCCTCTCCCACTTATTTTTGTATCCCCAAGGCCTAGAAAAGATCCTAGTATACAACAAATGAGTGTTTAATTGGATCTTTTAAAAAACACTGTATTGTATGTAAAGGAAGCATAACCACAATCCATCACTTCAGTAAAATTCATATGAAACGGATACATAAATAAACCATACATACTGTATATACGTGAACTGATTTGGTCACATTTTGCAGAAGGTAAGATTATAAACTTTTAAGGGCAAGAACCAAACAATAATTATGAATTATTTTTAAAATACATAAAAGTGCAAGGCCAAGTATGAAACTCCAACATCTCAATATCATGTTTGTTTCAGATTCTTTTTTATAAATAAAAACTTACAAATACTCTAGACACCACCTTTAAGCAACTCCCAGATACTATCCCTTGGCCTCTCTCCTCAGAGATGACCACACCCTGAAATTGAAGTGTATCCATCCCTTCCACATGTTCTCATTTTTACCACTTAAGAAAATATATTAATAAGCAATAAATAATATTATCCTGTGTTTTAATACTTTAAGCCAGCATTATGTATTACAAATATAATGTGAGCTACAAGTGTAATTTTCAATGGTCTAGTAGCCACATTTAAAAAAGTAGAAACAGGTAAACTTTATTTTAATGTTATATTTCATTCAACCCAGTATATCCAAAATATTACCATTTCAATATGAAATCAATATAAACATTATTAGGCTATTCAATATTTTTTTTAAAAAAAATCCAGTACTCAGTCTTTGAAATCCCCCTGGTAATTTACACTTACAGCACATTTCAATTTGGAAGGTGAATTTAGATTTCATAAAATTTAAGTTGAAAAACTAGATTCATATATCCAGGTTGTTCCAAATATACTTAAAAGTTTTTCCAATAACTGAAATCAGTTTTTAAAATTTAAATTAATTAAAATCAACAATGCAGTTTTTCAGTCACAACTACATTTCAGCTGCTCAATATCCACAGATGGCTAGAGGACACCCTATTGGGCAGTGCACTTAAAAAGTTAACACAAACTACTTACCATTCAGCGTCTTTCTTTTGCTCACTCAATTTACATAATATTTTAATTTTTTTTCCTTTGCCATATCCTAGAACCGAAGTGCACAGATGGATTGGATGGCTTTGAATTTCAGGGCAGATGACATTTTACATTTTTTAAAAAAATCATCTATCACTAAATTTACTTAGTAAGTCTAAAAGAACTTTCCAAAAAAACTACTGGTTTGTATTTTTGTTTAAACAATGCGATTGTTAAACAGGATACATCTACTGATGAATAACGACGCCGTGTAACTAGCAAAGCTGCAGCATTCAGACTAGCCGCTCCCATCCCTCCACCCCGCCCTCCACCAGCACGCGTCCACATGCACGCACGCAGACACGCAAACGCGCACACATACACGTACATACACAGAGACGCGCGCACACATACACATGCACACACACGCACGCACGCGCGTGCAGACCACCCAGGAAATGCGGTTTCTTTCTCCCTTCTCGCTAGATAGAGCGAACGCTGGGAAGTTTCTGAGAAGTACTCAAGCTAACTCGATATTGGCGGGGTTCCACGTCCCCTTTCAAGTGATAATAGACTCCGCCTTCCTCCAGGTTCATTCGAGGAGAAAGGAAAAGGTTGGGGTGGAGGCGAAAAGAAGCCCTGTTATGGTCAACTAGCCATTAGCTCCGCCTCAGGAAACAGCAGACTTTGTGCGCCAGAGCATAAAACATATTTCTTGCAGGAACGTGCAAAGATTTAGAAATGGCCTTCAGTGGAGTCACTTGTGCGGGCGAGAGGTCGGGACGGGCGTTTTCCCCTAAGCAGGCGCCCAGCGCAATTGGGGGCGTTGGTGACTGGAGCTATTATCCAGCCGCGCTGTTAGCTGCCGGACCTCCAGGACTCGAAGAGCACCAGACCTGAGTTCTCTGGTTTGAGTTTCCCACAAAAATGCGGTCAGACCAAAAACTCTTGTTCTACAGATACGAAAACAGCCCCGAAACTTTTTTTCTCCCACACGCTCACTCTCCTCTCCTCCTCCCTCCGCATTTTGTGCTTTGCTTCACGAGTGACATATTCGATTAGAATGCCAACTCTGCAAAATCCCAGGACCTAAAGACAACTGAAGTCCTCAGGAGACAGAAGACGAAAACATCGCAACCTCTACTGCACGTCCCTATTTTCCCCAAGCTTTAAAAAAAAACAAAAAAAAAAACCCTGCCGTCGCCGCGCGATGCATGCTAGGATGAGTAGTTCCCCCAACCAGCGAAGCGCACGGTCACAGCGGAGCTCCGCTTGAGTCCCCTGCAGAGAACTACAATCCCCGTGGTGCCCTGCGGCAGAGTGGACGGGACCGGACGGGAGAGGGCGCTTCGCGCTTGCGCAGGTCGAGGACTTGGAGAGAGGCGGAGGCGCAGTGGTCCAACTACTGAAGAGTCTCCATGTGACAGTGAGCGGGGTCCCAGCTGCAGGCGCCGCCCGGCTCTAGCTCCCGACCCCAAGCCCTGTCCACTGACCCGGCGCCTGCAGACACCAGCAGGCCGGGGACAGTTGGTGTTGGGCCGTGCCTTCGGAGGACTTGAGGTGCAGAGGGAACTGCCGCCGCCGGGCAGGTGCCTGAGGGACCCGCCGAGAGCCCGGCGTCTGCGGGGAGAGACGGAGCGGACTTTCTGTCGGCGCCGGCGCCCCTGAGCGCCCAGGCATGAACGGCTTCACGCCGGAGGAGATGAGCCGCGGCGGGGACGCGGCCGCCGCAGTAGCCGCCGTGGTCGCTGCTGCCGCCGCCGCCGCCGCCGCCGCCGCTTCGGCGGCGGGGAACGGGGCCGGGGCGGGGGCCGGGGCTGAGGTACCCGGCGCCGGGGCGGTCTCCGCGGCCGGGGCCCCGGGAGCGGCCGGGCCGGGCCCGGGACAGCTGTGCTGTCTGCGGGAGGACGGTGAGCGGTGCGGCCGGGCAGCGGGCAACGCCAGCTTCAGCAAGAGGATCCAGAAGAGCATCTCCCAGAAGAAGGTGAAGATCGAGCTGGATAAGAGCGTAAGTGACGACGGCGCTGCCCTGCCCGCCCCCTTGGGTCTCCGGGAGCGGCGCAGACGGAGGTCGTTGGGCGGGGGTTTCAGGCGTCCGTCCCCCCGGACCTGGTGGCAGTGCGAACCCGTTGTGGGGTCTCTAGTAGGACGCAAACAACAAAGTCGCTGCAACTCCGACCGCCACCCCCGATACACAGTTGCACTCTGCGGTCCCGCTGGCCCCATCCCCCACCCGGCTCCCTGCTTCTCTCCCGCTCTCGGTCTTCCCCCTTCCTCCCCCGCCGAGGTCGGGAAACGAAACAAAGGGGACCGCCGCCCGGAGGGCCGGGAGTAGTGTTCTTGCAGCCCGGCAGCGCCTTCTGGAATGGAGGCGCCTTCTTTGTTTTGCTGCCCAAGCTTGCGTTTGGCCCCAGGGAGTAGCTCCCCTCGTCTAGGGAAAGTGGCGTCCTGCAAGGACCTGACCTCGCAGTTGCGAAGGATCCCGCTCCTCATTCCTCCGAGCGCGAAGGAAGCTGGAAGCCGAGCTCCCCCGCGCCTCGCGGGGGCCTGGGGCTGCGCTGTGCCGGCGGTGTCGGCATCCAGGCAGCTGCTCCGAACGTGGGCAGCTCGCAGCCTCTGCGGTCTTGCCGTCCGTTGGCAGCCATCAGGATTTCTTTTTCCGTCCTTTTGCACGTCTGTTCTTCTGACCATCCCAGGTTTTTAGAAACAACCATTGCCACTTTTCAGAGCTCTGGATGGCAGTAAATGAATAACAAGATGTCACAACCTAGCTCACGCCCGGCATGTTTTTAACTTGCACTTAGAAGTTAATTTAAAAGCCTATTAGCTCGGTCTTTAATTGTTTGGTTTTTTAAGGAGTAACTGTTAAGATGTGAAGCTCAATATTTGAGATGTTAGTATACAGCTCTCAAGACTGTATGTAATTAAAGTTTTTGAAAAGTTTATTTGTGATACTTTTTCGGTTGTGTTCATGAGAAACTTTTCAGGTAAATCTGAATGATTTCATAATGCTTTGGTTGGAAAAACGTATTACAGATTAACATTTAATACTCAGAAGGAAAAGTTTACAATTCAGATTTAAATGTAGTTGGGATATGAAACCAACAGCTCATTTGTAAAAATGGATAGTTTTGTATCTGGATTCTAATTGAAATATCAAAATAGAAGGATTAGGAAGCGTGCATTATGCTACTAAAATATACTCTTTAAGTAGAAAAAATACTATCAAATAGCAAAATTGTGGGCAACATCATCTTTCCCCTTGTTAAAAAAAACAGCATGACCTAACTAATGTAGTTCACCCTCACTGCAATTTGATGACAAAATCCAGAGGGTTGGAATCTCGTTCTCCTCTGCCTGCCCTTAACTCCACCCCCCAATCCTCTTAACACTGTCGTCAGACTTGGTATGTTTTAACTGGGCGCAGGATTTAAGAATAGAAAGAAACATGCCATTCTCTTAATGGCCTGTTTTGACTGTTGTTTTTATTTTTGATAATTCACTGTGGCCTATGTGTTTTACTAATACATAGACACATTTTACTGTAATCATAAGTAGTTTGTGAAACTTTTCTGTTTCAGGCAAGGCATCTTTACATTTGTGATTATCATAAAAACTTAATTCAGAGTGTTCGAAACAGAAGAAAGAGAAAAGGGAGTGATGATGATGGAGGAGATTCACCTGTTCAAGATATTGATACTCCAGAGGTAGAGGAAAGTTTTTGTATTTTAAATGTAAATCCTAACTAGTCCATTCTGAAACTTTTGCAAAAAGATATGAACAAATTTCTGAATACTCAAAGCATTTGCAAAATCTGAAAATGAAAGCAAAATTAGATGTAGCCAGTTAATATGCAGTTGCACAACTTGACTTGTTATACTTGCAGTTGACAACTCTTATCGCTCTGTTTTATAACTTTTTTGCCCCTAGTTTTTAATATTTATCCTCAAAAAATTAAAGTATTTAATACATTTGTTGTTTTGATTATATAAAAGACTTCTTTAATAATGGAATTAGGTTTTTATTGTGCTGAAATTAAACTGTTATTATACCTATTAAAGAGAAGTTTTTAACAGATTCCATGAACTAATTCATATGTGTTAATTTTTTCTAGGTTGATTTATACCAATTACAAGTAAATACACTTAGGAGATACAAAAGACACTTCAAACTACCAACCAGACCAGGACTCAATAAAGCACAGCTTGTTGAGGTATATATGAGTTTTCAACTATTTGAACTTTGAGTGAGCCTGTTCGTACAAAAACAGTCATTAAATGCTAATGAAATTGTTAATGTAGTGTATATAGCAACGTGTTTTATTAGAAGGATCAAAGTTAATAAAAAATCTATTGTGGAGGAATCTAGTTGCCTAGAAATGTTGGCCACTTAGGAAATTCCTTTACATAGTGACTGTTCAATGGATTGTATGTAGTTTTCTAAGCACCTTCTAATGCTGGCTTTCAGAAATGTTGAGTGAGAGTTTTTTCATTCTCATTCTAGAAATTTGTTCATTTTAAAATTCCATTTTCTCAGTAAACTTTACTGAACACCTAATTGAGGCATAATAAAATAAATTAATAAGTTGTGATGTCTTTATTAGAATTTATTTTTTGAAGTTTCTGATGAAATAGGTCTACAGATAAGCCCCTAAACAATATTTCCATAATTTGCTGATTTAACCATTTCAGAATTTGTCCTTGTTGATGTTAGTTTATTTGAGGCATCCATGTCGTCTTCACATCTAGAAGACACAAAGACTTGTATCCAACATTTTACTTACAGTTTGCTTTGAGATAGGGCTTCTAGTCTTTAGTGAATTTTGAAAACTTGAGTGCGTATTCTCAGGAAATAATAGAACCAAGAAATCCGGCAACATATTAAGGTATTTATAGATTTATGTACTTATACTTCAATCATATATAAAATAAAAATACTTAATCTACTAGATAGAATAGAAACATAAATATATAAATCAGTTTTCTCATAGTCTTCAGCTTGAATTTCATAATCTAACGTTTTCTAAAATGTGCATATTAAATAAAAGATGAAATAGAAGGTACAGTTCTTTGGCAGAGTGCTTTTTAACACTGTTAAGATACAATATATTAACATTTTAGCCAGAATTTCTTTTTTCCTTCTTGCCTAGGCAACAAAAATCCAATTTTTGTTTAAATTTGATCTAAAAGATCTAGTCCTTTTTGGATTGTATACTACATTAATATAACATAAATGTGGATATTGCCTACCGTGATGAAACTATATTGATGTGTACAAATACTAATCACGTAAAGTTACCTTTGTTTTGGGACAAATGAGAACCAAAGAATTGATCATTTTAAATTTTACATTTAAATGTATGTATTTTTAAAATGCATACATCAAGTATGAAGTTTTTGATAATCTGATCTTCTTAAAAAAAGATATATTATTTTCAGAGCTCTTTTCTTTTTTAGAAATAGGAAATAGCGATAATCCATATATCCATGAGTATTATAGATAGTCAGAAATGCAGGTATTTATAAATGATTCCAGAGTTAGATGACTGTCCTCTTTAAGTCTCTTAATTATTGTGTGGATAACTTTTTCTTTAACAGTTTTATCTTCCAGAATCTAGATATGCGTATCAGCACCCCAGTTTAGTCTGTTATACTTCTATTGATAGTTGCAGTGCACATGTTAGATTAGCACGATGAAAAGGCAAAAAAGCAAATAAACATTCTTCAGTGTACGACCCCCTTTCCCCTCTCATTTTGTATCCATAATTTTTATTCAGAAAAATTTTCAAGGAACCTTAACAATAAATAGTGCTAATGAATGAGTGAATACAAGCTGTAGCAAACATATTTGTAAGATACTTCGTGGTTTGTTTCTATAGTACCAAAACTTTTTCAGCTTTGTATTTATCCTTTTTCTGTGAGTAGGTTCTGTTTTATTTCATTAATATTTAAAGTTTAAAAGTAAAAGTACCTCCTAATCTAGATTCTAGTTATAAAATTTAAAATAAAAGGAAATACACATTCTAATTAATGTATAATTAATTGAGTGGGCTAAAGGGTCTTTTGAAATCACACTGTCTCTTGTTCATAACATCTTATTTTTATATGCTTATGTCATCCTGTTGGTATTTTGTTAAATACAATTTATTTTAAAAATAAATAGCTCTATTACCATCACATGGCCCTTTTTCTTTTGATGAAAGTGTTTTTACCTAGTTTATGAAATCTGTTCATATCTATAATTTAATTTCCTCAATTTTTTTTTCTTTATAGATAGTTGGTTGCCACTTTAGGTCTATTCCAGTGAATGAAAAAGACACCTTAACATATTTCATCTACTCAGTGAAGAATGACAAGAACAAATCAGATCTCAAGGTTGATAGTGGTGTTCACTAGGAGAGATGGAAGTGAGACTAAGACTTGAATGTTAGATGTTAAGACTGTTTACTGTTTTTTCACATGTAGAAATGTTCCTTGTGTATTTTTTCTACAGAGGATTTTCTTTGGTTTTATTTTCCTTGTTTCTGACTCTAATAATTAGTTGGAAACTCACGCAAAACGAGCTTTCCTAGATTAAAAAATATTTTAAATAAAGGTTGTTACTATTATAGTTGCTTCAGTGTATTTATTTTGTGAAACTTGATTTTTATTATAAACTGACTTTTAGGGACCAGTGTTAATTGAGATTTTAATGTAAAGATCATTTATTACCTTTTTTAAATTTATTTATTTTTAATTCCAAGAAACTAACAAGTTAAGGAAAAGTAACAAATGTAGCGTATTTGCTTTCTGTGGGACAATCTGATTTCTAATTCAGGATATCATATTAAATAGCATTATTTTCAAAGTGCTTTTTAGTGCTAACAGATTTGAAAAATACACTTCCATTGAGGTGCAACTTTTTTGTTTCCTTTTATTGTTATTATTACTTGAAGAAGTACCAGGAAGAACAAATAGTTTAAGTTATATTCTTACGTCCTTCCAAAGAAGACTTAATGTGCCAGCAAAGGTAAACACATTGCTGAAAGTTGAAGTAAGAACATAGAATTCAAGTTTTAATTGTTTCTTTAAATTTTCTCTTAGAGAAAAGGTATTTATATAGCATGAATATAGAAAGAACCTCTGCAATACCCCTTAACTTTGAGTCATGTCCTATGCTATTTACATTGCAAATTAAAACTAATAAATTGGAGAGATCTAGAAATCTAACAAGATCTTTAAATTTTGGTCATACGTAGCTCTGATTTGTTTTATTTCCTTTTTATATTTCATTCTCTGTCAGTTTTAAATATTTTTAACCTCTGCTTTTCCTGAGAATTGTGTTGCTTCACCAAGTTCCTATGATTACAAATCAAATTCATAGCTTGTGACACCAAAACAAAACAGTTTCAGTGAAGTGTTAGGAGGTTGTGGGGCAGATTTTAGGCTGGAAACGGGTGAGATCATTAATGTAGCTCTGGGTTTCTCAAAGCTGACATTTGGGCCTGATGATTCTTCATTGTGGGAGGCCGTCCTTTGTCTTGTAGCTTTAGCAGCATCGCTGGAGTCTACACACTAGTGCCTGTAGCACTCCAAAGGTGACAACCAGAAATATCTCTAGACATTGTCAGACATTCCCCGGGGGGCAAAATCACCCCTGACTGAGAACCACTGATGTAGCTAAACCTAAAGTCCTGGGTCAGTAGAAGGTGAATCTGTATTTTTAAGTGTTCTGAATGTTGTATTGACAGCTAAAATATATGGTGAACAATAAAGCAACTGGTCTTTGTTTTTGCGATGACCATTTAAAGATTTACTTGCTACTTTATTGATGAGTAGAGGCTGTAATAACTGGTATGAAAACCTCTCATTCCTGGTATTCCAGAAATCTCTGTGAGAACTGAAATGATGTATGAAAATGAACCACAAAGCTACAAGATGTGGTGATTTATTTGAAGAAAATCTTACTTCTACATTTTATATTTTTCCTAAATCCCTAAAGACTTAATTTTATAATAAAAACTTGACTGTAGGCTTAGTTTTTCTGTAAAAACACTCCATTCTTGTGAAAAAAGCTTGAAATTATTTGCTTACATTAAAGTATCTGTTTATGAATAGATAACCTTTGACTAACAATGTTAGTTTCGTATAATTATTTGCATAAACTGTATAAAAAGTGAAAGAGCAAGAGTTCTGAGTGTTGATTATCCATTGAAATTAAGCCCTTGTTGGAGCAATTTAAAACATGAAAAGTTGAGAACTGAAGAACCTCAGCAAAGCTGAGGAACTCAAGAAACTGCAATGTAAAAGTCAGCTTTATATAAAGATTTTAATTCTTTGCTTTTGGGTTTTAAAAATGATGAATTCACTAGAAATGTTTTTACTTGTCTATATCTGAGCAGAAAAAGTAAATGGGAACTCATATCTCTATGATGGTACAGCTTACCTTTAGGTTAGAGTATCAGGAGAAGAATCCAAATGTGACTGCCATTGGGGTAGAAGGAAGAAAATATACTAAATGTGTAGCATGAGCTCAAGAAATGTCAGTTGTTTGGTAATTACCTTTTACTGAATAATTTAGGAAAAGGCTAAAAAATTAATGTCGGAGATACATTTCTTTAAGAAGAAAAGCTGTATGTTATTTCTGCATAAGGCTTTTTTTTTAAATAGAGGTGAAATTTACTCAATATACAATTAACCACTGTAAAGTGTACAATTTGTTGGTATTTAGTGTATTCACAATGTTGTGCAACCACTAGCTCTAATTTAAAAACTTTTTCATCACCTCTTAAAAACACCCGTAACTAATCACTCCCAATTCCTCCCTCCTATCCCTGGTATCTGCTTTCTGTCTCTGTAGATTTGCCTATTATATCATATAAAGGGAACCAGACAATATATAGCCTTTTGTGTCTGCGTTTTGTCCCTTAGTGTAATGTTTTCAAAGGTCATTCAGATTGTAGCATGTATCAGTACTCTGTTCCTTTTTAAGGCTGAATAATGTGTATACATATATAGGTATGTGTATGTATATATATATTTATATATTTTTTACATTTCCTTTAACGTATACGTAATGTAGATATCAAGTCAGTTTTGTACCCATAATACCCAACAGACTTATATTTTACTTCTAAACCTCTGGAAATATAGATCATTAGATCTTGTATATTATTTTTTGTTGAAAATTTTCTATAGGTTTTTATTTGTAAAATTCTTAGAATGTTTTGGCTACGTTTATGCCACACATTTCTCTTTAGATATGCTACTATACAAAGATGAGCACGTTATGGTGATAACCATTCTATAGAAGTAAATTGAATAGGCTAATTCTGTGTCAATTTACTATAATTTTATCAGTTTCTCTTCAGTTCTTTGAGAGAAAAGTTTAGTTTTAGGCTGTTAATGCAAGATGATTTAGAAATAATATGAATTTGATTATTTTTTCCTTTGGGGAAAATTATTTTAAAGCCTGTAGTACTTTATTGATAGGATTATTTACATTTTAAAGTCACCTGCCATAATATTTTGCAAAAACGATTTATTCTGGAAGAACTCATGTGTACCTGTTGGCACTTGTGAGGAAGTTAAAGTTACGAAATGATCTGTAAATGTTTTTATCTGTCCTTGCCTTCCTCCAATAGTTGTTGCTCGTTGTCTTGGTTCTCCATGTTGCTTCCAGTTCCCTAATAATCCTAGGATTAGTACCTAATTGCAGCAAACAAGATATTCAGGGAGACTCTATGGATTATGATGAGGAAAAGGAAATTTTTATCAAGAAGCGATGAGGTATTAGTAAGTATTACTGTTAACTTTGTGCTCAGTACCATGGAATTCATAGTAAGAACAAAGAGATAGAAAGTCAAAGATAAAAATACAGAAGTTGTTATTTGGTAAGCATTTAGCATATATAAGCCAACTGAAATATACAATTGCATGTCTCATACAAGCAAAGATTTGCTTTCCTAAAAAGGAATTGGATTAGATGATGTTATTAAATAACATAGCAGTTAAGAATTTAGATGCCAGAAGAAGACTGGCCATATCCAAAACCTGGCTCTACTGCTCTGATAATGTACAGTTAGGCAAGCTGCTTCTCTCTAAATTTGGCATCTTTGCCCATAGAACAGAGATCATGATAGTACTTATCTCACTCAGTTGTAAGACAGTATTTGGAACAATAATACATTTTTAATAAAAGCTTGGTTGTATTTTCTTGTAGCTAAAAACTATTGAAAAAATAAAGGATCTATTCATTAATATGATTGAATGAAATGTTTGCTTTTAAAAACATACTAACCAAGTTAGAAAAAGTTATATAAGGCAAGTTGTGTGAGCATTCATGCTTTTTACATTTATTTGGTAATATAAAGAAGAATATGTGCTTCTATAATGCATTCATTTCTAAAAGAATGTAATATAATTTCATATTACAAAGTTATTTCCAGAAAGGAGAGAATTTGATGAAAAATAATAATTATAAAATTTCATTTATTGTTTAGTTTTTTTCAAATACTATTTTCCTCATCAGATTTTTTTTTCCAACTGTTGCCAATCTTTTTTTGTTTTTCTGCTTTTTCTCCCCAAATCCCCCCAGTACATAGTTGTATATTTTAGTTGTGGGTCCTTCTAGTTGTGGCACGTGGGATGCCTTCTCAGCATGGCTTGATGAGCGGTGCCATGCCGGTGCCCAGGATCCGAACTGGCGAAACCCTGGGCCACATGAACTTAACCACTCGGCCACGGGGCCGGCCCCTCAACAGATTTTGATTGTAGTAATAAGGGAACACTTAATTAAAAAGCCATTGTTGCCTCACATATGCCCTCATGCTGATCTGTTATTTATAAATAGAGATACTGAATCTTTAGTGCTTTTTTTTCTCCCTCAAAGAGAATCTATACCAAGTAGAAAATGAAACAGGTTCACTGATGATTTTCTTTATTTACCTATTCCATGCACTGTTCCAGAAAGGATAGAAGACTTCCATTATTGAGTTAGTTTGATTTTAATACCAGTCAATTCAGTGACCAAAAAAAGCCCAATCAGATCAAATGCTATGTGGATAAAACAACAAATTTGTTTTTGTTTTTTTTACAATTCCACTTCTTCATGAATTTTTGTAGAGGTCATACTATTTGAAAACATGTTCTGACGTGTTTGTGCAGATTTTAGGAGGAACTGAATTATGACTATCTCAAAATGGTTTGGTCCAACCCTGTAACACTTACTGAACACTGAATAGATATCAGATACTGTTCTGGGTGTGGTCTTCAGAAGCAGATCAGGGACCTCCAAGGTTATATTTCAATGAAATAATGTCACTTTTATTCCAAAATGATGTCTCCTGGATTTGCTACATGGTGTGGTGCTTCTCAAACTTTTCTCCTCAGCAATACTTTGTATAGCATCCTACGCTTATCCTCTGTAGCAGGCTTCACATTTATAAATAATTATTTATTTGTAATTATTACCCCTTTGTTAGAATACAAGTTCCAAGAAGACAAGTCCATCTTATTCATTACTACATCCCTAAATCTTAGTAATAGCTGGCACTTCGAAAGCATTTAATAAATTTTTATAGCATAAGGACTTTCTGAAATTACCTCTGATGGCCTAGTCAATGCATACCTCCTAAGATATGAGGGCATAGTCCACAGCTGCCTCCAACAGTCAGAAAATGTCTCTGAAGGCATCTGTTTTGTTTACCCTTAAAATTCATGTGACTGTTTAATTCTCATCCATTACATGTTTGTTTTAATATGTGTTTTGTTATTCTCAGGAAAAATTGATATATCAGGAATATGTATCATAGTTTTAAGGATACAGCTATGTGTGTGAGTGTGTGTAGTGTATGGGGTTTGGAATTAGAACTTGTTCAAATTCTGCCTTTATTTTTAGTAAATATCTTAAACTTGAGTTGGTATCTGAAAAACAGGTTTAAGAATACTTATTTCACAAGTTTTTGTTGTTTTTTAAGAGAATAAATCACAAATGTACCTAAAGTACTTGACATACATAATGTACACTCAAATATTGGCTCCCTTTCCCCCTCTTTCTAGAAAACTTCTAATTTCCCTTCCAAGAACCTCAATTTTTATCTGGTTCTTTCCATTAAGTATACCTGGTCAATAACTGTCAACTAAGAACTGAAAGTATTCTCAATCTTTGAGCCAGGATTATAGCTATTCATCTGGAGACAGAATTCTTTTACTGGGCATAGTGAATACCTTGTAGATGAAAATTTTCTAGCAAAAATTTTTAAACTGGTGCCAACAGTGACCACAGAGAAAAATTAAATTGAATTAATTTTTATTACTACTTAACACAAGTTTACTTGTCCTAGACAAGTAAGAATTTATAGAATCTGCTTTATTGCACTGCATAGAAACTAGAAATGCAGTTACACTTATATAGTGCAGTTTTTGGGAAATGAGGGATGGTGTTCTCCGGAATACATGAAGATTCTCAGTGATTGTTGCAAGGAATCACAAAAGAGATCTTTGGTCCAAAGAAGACATCTCTGAAAGAAAATATAACATGAGTTAAGTTCAGCTGAAAGTTAAGATATATGTTAGTCTCTTCTGGCTTAAAAATGGACAGTGATTTCCAGGATTTCAGATATGGCTATTCTTTTTAGGTGAATAAAGTACAAAGAATGAGTGGGAGGACTTGCCCACAGGAGCAACAAAGACTAAGAAGGTAATCAGTTCTACTTTCCTCCCATTTGCCATTGATATTATGCTATCATTTATCTATAAAGAAAAGGAAAGACTGAGTGATTTCAAAACCTTATAGTCATGCAAAAAGATTAATTTCTCTGACATGGGTGAGGATAGATCATGAAGTTTAAATCTACAGGTAAGAAAAAGAAGGTTAAAAATTTCTTAAAAAGTCAATAAATAAATTTCTAGGTTTTGTAGGGAAAGGAGAAATGTTAAGCTATTCAGCTCTTCTTGTTTGAAAGATCATATAAGGTAATGTATAAAAATGCATGGAATAATATAAAATTGTGTATATGTGCAAGGTAGTATTATGATTATGGCTGATTAGCATCTAATGTACAACATGATGACTACAGTTAACACTGTTGTATGGTATATTCGAAAGTTTCTAAGAGTAGATCCTAACAGTTCTCATCACAGGAAAAAAAATTGTTTTGGTTAATATATGAGGTGATGGATGTTAACTAAACTTAGGGTAATCACTTCACAATATATGTATGTCAAATCATTATGCTGTATACCTTAAACTTATACAGTGCTATATGTCAATTAAATCTCAATAAAATAGAAAAAGATAGGATGGCAAATTAAGATTTATGTTTATAGACAGAAAAAAAAAGGAATATGCTTAGCAAGTTAAGTCTGTTGCTACTGGGAAAATGATAACCCCAAATCAGATAGAAATTACTTTTTTTGAAAGTATACAAAAATCTTGTATACTTCTTCTATACAAGAAGTATAGAAGTCCATACTTCTATTCTCATCGATTAACACAGATAATCACAAAATTATGTCATAAAATAAATACAAGTACATCTCAGTAAATTGGTTCCAAGTCTTACAATTAAAAAACACAAACGTGGTATTTTAATAGTAGATGTCATTTCATTTATGTAGTCTGGGAAAAATTAAGTCATTTTATGCAATCAGTTAACTCAAGTTCTTGTTATCATGGTTTAACATAACGATTCTCAAACTACCATGCATCAGAATCACCTAGAGGGTTTAAGCCATAATTGTTATACCTCACCTCCATTGTTTCTGATTCAGCTGGTCTGGTCTGGGGCCCAAGAATGGATGTGCACTTTTAACAAGAACTCAGGTGATATTGAAGCTTTTGTTCTGGGAACCATACTTTAAGAACCAACTGGCTTGATAGAAAAAGTATCTAGTCCAAATCAGAAGACCTGGGTTCTAGTCTCAGTGCTGATATTAACTAGTTACGTGGGATGGTGCTAGTCATTTTACCTCTCTATACCTTTCCTTGATAAGATGGTTATATCTGCCCTTTCTACCTCACAGATTTCTTAGAAAAATGAAACTATGATGACATATGTTGAAAGTAATTTGAAAAAGTTATTTTCAGTATGAATAGCCAAGGTCATAGTATTCGAAAGATTCCTCAATAACCAAAGGAAAATAATTTTAAAATCAAGTGCTAAAAATATTTATTGATTTATCTACCATTGTTTTATACTTAAATACATCTACTTTCCAGGTCAGTGGATAATGTCTATTTAGTTAATTTCTGGTTAACTCAGACATAGAGCTAGAAAATTTTTCCTTGACCCTTATCAAAGTTTTTTGTGCAGCTAATTACTTGATCCTGTTACTGAAATCTTTTATCTAAAGCCTTTTATTAGTTTTCAAATTGGTTTAAGATGTCAACCTTGAAGGTGACTTCAGCTACCAACAGATTTTTTTGTGTGGTTAAAAATCAGATAGGAAATTTAGAATTTAATAGATTGGAGTGTTATTGATTTTCTGGATTTAATTTGTTTTACTAAAATCTGCCAAACTCTGTTTCTTAAATGAAAATATTCAGTTCTATACACAATGGTGATGATTCTAGAAAATAGCTGAGATTTGAACAGGATTTTACTAAAAATGGTGATTAATTTCAGCAAACTCATTATGAGGGTGTCCTTAAAAAAGAGTTGTTATGCATACATTTCATAGCAACGTATTTTGTGATTGCATTTCCTTACTTTGGACAGCAGAGCAATTCACTGAAGTTGCAGTAACAGATCATCTCACATCCCTTCCCATCCCAGAAATGATCCTGGACGTTTACATCCATCTTTGTCAGGTCAGCTACTCCTTCCGGAACGTTGTGACAGTTGCGATCTTTCAGTATCTTTTTGTAGCAAGACAGGCGATTTGCAGGCATGGCTTGAACTCCTAGCAGCAAAGTTAGCGCAACGGTGACAGCAAGTACTGTAAATTTCATTTTGGCTTTTGGCCCTGGGATAGAAGAAAAACCAAAATGTGTCAGTGTTTTTGGTTTTTTTAAGATGGAATTCATCTGAACATAAAGTTCCGTGGCATTCTCATAAACTTTGGATAGACAGAATGGGAGGTGATCTTTCCTACTCTCCTCTTTGAATGTGTTTCTCAAAGTGTAGTTTTATGACCATCTACAATAAAAATCACTTAGAATATTTGTTAAAAATCAAATGCCTGGGCTCCACAAAGAAATAGTGAATGAGAAATGCTGGGAAGGGCGGAGGGGGACAGGTAGTGGTAAGAGCCACAATCTGCATTTTTAAGTACCAAAAGTCTTTTTGGGTTTTTTTTTTGTACATTCAGTAGAGAAAAACTGCTTTTTAAGGTGGTAAAACTCAGGTAAATTACTAGAACAAGTATCTTCATCGAGTACAGTGTTCTTGACTTTGCATATCTTAACAAGATTGTCAAAGAACCTGGCTCCCACCCTGACAAAATCAAAAAGCTCCTTTATCCTGATATTGACAGATGATATTGTATACATATGTTTATAGTTCAGTTAAGTTTTTAAAAACTTTGGAATTATTTTTGGGGTCCATTTTTGTTGCAAATTTTTAGTAATGTTGTGAACTTTTATCCCACATGGATTACTTCATCTTAGCCTCAGTTGAAAGCACAAGCTTGAATTCTCCCTAATAAATCTCTAGCCTGTTCTTAACTACCTACCATGATGAAGAACTCATTATTGGCTAAGTCAACATATTCCATGGACATAGTTCTAACGTCTCCCTTATTGTAAAATATTTTTCTGTAGCTTCCAACCACCAGTCCTAGTCTGAACTCTTGGGGTCGTACCAAACAAGTCTAATTCCTCTTCCAGGAGATAAGTCTTCAAGTACAGTATTTGCATACAACTATGGAATATTCACCATCTATTAAATCAGGCTTCTCTGGCTTCCATATTAAATGTGTAAACAATGGAGGCTATTGTAGTAAAGGAAAACTAGCAAAAGAGTGGAGGAACCAAAATCAGAATCCACGGCCATTCAGATTTCATCTTGTTGACAGGCACCAAAGTATCTGTACTACTATGGAATATTGTAAAGAGGGGAAGACAGATACGTATATTGTACTTCGAAAGTAAACAATATTGTTGAAATTTTAGTATGAAGTTTTCAGTGATTAGATACATCTCAAAAGTGAATTATTTTAGGTAAGATAAAGACTTTTTTAAAAAGACTTGGTTCTTTTAGAGCAGTTTTTGGTTTACAATAAAATTGAGAGGAAGGTACTGATTTCCCATATAACCTCTGCCCTCAGGGGTCAGCCTGGTGGCACAGAGGTGAAGTTTGCATGTTCTGCTTCAGCAGCCTGGGGTTCCCTGGTTTGGATCCCTGGTGCGGACCTACACACCACATATCAAGCCATGCTGTGGCAGGCATCCCACATATAAAATAGAGGAAGATGGGCACGGATTTTAGCTCAGGGCCAATCTTCCTCAGCAAAAAGAGGAGGATTGGCAGCAGATGTTAGCTCAGAGCTAATCTTCCTCAAAAAGAAACAATAACAAAAATAAATAAATAAATAAAACACCCCTGCTCTCACACATGCATAGCCTCTCCCATGATCAATGGTACACTTTTTACCAAGGATGTACCTACATTGACATATCATAATCACCCAAAGTCTATAGTTTACCTTAGGGTTCCCACTTTGTGTTGTACATTCTATGGGTTGGACAAATGTATAATGACATATATCCATCATTATAATATCAAACAGTATTTTCACTGCCTTAAAAATCCTCTGTGCCCTGCCTATATAACTTCCCCCCTGCTCCCTGCTCTGTAACCACTGATCCTTTTTATTGTCTTTATAGTTTGGCTTTTCCAGAATGTCCTATAGTTGGAATCATACAATATGTAGGCTTTTCAGATGGGCTTCTTTAACTTAGTAATATGCATTTAAGCTTCCTCCATGTCTTTTCATGTCTTGATAGAGCGATCTTTCTTTTTTAGCACTGAATAATATTGCATTGTCTGGATGTACTGCAGTTTATTTATCCATTCACCTACATCTTGGTTGCTTCCCAATTTTGGCAGTCATGCATAAAGCTACTATAAACATCCTTGTGCAGGTTTTTATGTGGACATGTTTTCAACTCCTGTGAGTAAATACCAAGGAGCATGATTGCTGGATTATATTGTAAGAGTATGCTTAGTTTTGTAAGAAACCACCACAGTCTTTCAAAGTAGCTGTACTACTTTGCATTCCCACCAGCAAGGTGTGCGTTCCTGTTGAGCCACATTCTCACTAGCATTTGTTGTTGTCAGTGTTCTGGATTTTGGTCATTTTGATTGATATATAGTAGTCTCTCATTTTAATTTACATTTTCCTGATGACTTATTATGTGGAGCATCTCTTCATATGCTTGTTCACCATCTGTCTATCTTCTTTGGTGACATGCCTGTTAAGGTTGGCCCATTCTTTTAATCAGGTTCTTTGTTTTTTTATTGTTGAGTTTTAATAGTTCTTTGTATATTTTGGATAGCACTCCTTTAGCAGATAGGTCTTTTGCAAATGTTTTCTCCCAGTCTGTAGCTTGTCTTCTAATTCTCTTGATATTTTCTTTCACAGAACAAAAGGTTTTAATTTTAATGAACTTTAACTTATCAATGATTTCTTTTATGGATCATGACTTTGGTGTTATATCTAAAAAGGCATCACCATACCCAAGGTCATCTAGGTTTTCTTCTATGTTGTATTCTAGGAGTTTTTGAGTTTTGCACTTTATTTTTAGGCCTATGATCCATTTTGACTTAATTTTTTGTAAAGGGTGTAAAGTCTTTGTTTAGATTCATTTTGCCGCATGTGGATGTCTAGCTGTTCCAGCACCATTTGTTGAAAAGACCGTCTTTGTCCATTGTGTTGCTTTTGCTCCCTTGTCAAAGATTAGTTGACTATATTTGTGGGATTCTATCTGAGCTCTCTATTCTGTCTCCATTGATCTTTTTGTCTCTTCTTTCACCAATACCACACTGTCTTGGTTGCTGTAGATTTATAGTAAATCTTAAAGTCAGGTAGCATCAGTCCTCCAGCTTTGTTCTTCTCTTTCAGTATTGTGTTGGCTATTCTGGGTCTTTTGCCTCTCCGTGTAAACTTTAGAATCAGTTTGTCAATCTCCACAAAATAATTTGCTGGGATTTTCATTGGGATTGCATTAATCTATAGATCAAGTTGGGAATAACTGACATCTTACAATATTGAGTCTTCCTATCCATGAGCATGGAATATCTCTCTATTTTTTTAGTTCTTCTTTGATTTCATTCAACAGAGTTTTGTAGTTTTTCTCATATAGATCTTCTCGTGTATATTTTATTAGATTTATACATAAATATTTCATTTTGGGGGTGCTAATGTAAATGGTATTTTATTTTTAATTTCAAATTCCACTTATTCATTGTTGGTATATAGGAAAGCAATTGACTTTTATCTATTAACCTTGTATCCTGCATCTTCACTATAATCACTTATTCGTTCCATGTGTTTTTTGTTGATTCTTTCAGATTTTCTACATAGATAATATGCCAACAAAGACAGTTTTATGTCTTCCTTCCCAATCTGCATACATTTTCTTTTCTTTTCTTTTCTTGCCTTACTGCATTAGCAAGGACTTCCAGTATGATACTGAAAAGGAGTCATGAGAGGGGACATCCTTACCTTGTACCTGATCTTAGTGGGAAAGCTTCAAGTTTCTCACTGTTAAGTAGGATGTTAGCTGCAGGATTTTTTAGATAGTCTTTATCAAATTGAGAAAGTTCTCCTCTATTTCTAGTTTACTGAGAGTTTTATCATGCGTAAGTGTTGGTTTTTTGTCAGATGCTTTTTCAGCATCTAATGATATGATCATGTGATTTTTTTTTTTAGTTTGTTGACGTGATGGATTACATTAATTGATTTTCAAATGTTGGACCAGCCTTGCATACCTGGGATAAATTCCCCTTGATCATGATGTATCATACTTTTTCTACTTGTTTGGATTCAATTTGCTAATATTTTGTTGAGGATTTTTGCATCTATGTTCATGAGAGGTATTGACCTGTAGTTTTCTTTTCTTGTTATGTCTTTGTCCGGTTTCGATATTAGGGTAATGCTAGCCTCATAGAATGAGTTAGAAAGTAGTCCTTATGTTTCTATCCTTTGAAAGAGATTGTAGAAATTGGTATACTTTCTTGCTTAAATGTTTGGGAGAATTCACTAGGGAACCCATCTGGGCCTGATGCTTTCTGTTTTGGAAGGTTATTAATTATTGATTCAATTTCTTTAGTAGATATAGACCTATTCAGATCATCTATTTCTTCTTGTGTGAATTGTGGCAGATTCTACCTTTCAAGGAATTGGTCCATTTCACCTAGGTTATCAAATTTGTAGGCATAGAGTTGTTCATAATATTTCTTTTTTTTTAATTTCCATGGCATCTATAGTGATGTGCCTCTTTCATTTCTGATATTAGTAATTTTGTATCCTCTCTTTTTTTTTCTTAATTAGCTTGGCTAGCGTTTTATCACTTTTATAGATCTTTTCAAGGAACCAGCTTTTGCTTTCTTTGATTTTCTCTATTGATTTCTTGTTTTCAGTTTCATTGATTTCTGCTCTAATTCTTATTATTTCTTTTCTTCTACTTACTTTGGAGCAAATTTGATTTGCTCTTCTTCTAGTTTCCCAAGGTGGAAACTTAGATGATTGATTTTAGATCTTTTTTCTTTTCTAATATATGCATTCAAAGCATCCATAAATTTCCATCTAAGCACTGCTTTCACTGGATCCCATAAATTTTGATGTTTTATTTTCATTTTCATTAAGTTCAAAATATTTTTAAATTTCTGTTGAGATTTCTTCTTTAACCCATGTGTTATTGAGAAGTGTGTTGTTTAGTCTCAATGTATTTGGGGATTTTCCAGTTATCTTTCTGTTATTAATTTCTACTTTAATTCCTTTGTGATCTGAGAACAGACATT